GCTGCCAAGTTGCAACACTTGCTGATGGACTTATGGTATCACTTTCAAAACTCACAAGTCTAAAAATGCATGCAAGATCAACCTGGGCGTCTCTCTTGGGTTTCTGCGACTCGCTCAGCTCACTGAAAGACACGATTGTTTTGGAGAAAGCCTTAAATAATAATTAAAAAAGAAAATGAGCTTGCCAAGTGTTAACATTTTGGCCTGAGATGGTTGCTTTCAGTCTCACGCTGCCAGGATTTTCTCTCACGCCAAGTAAGAGGAAGCCTCAAAGCTCGTCCGTTGTGAAAAAAACAGACATGTTAAACAGGACAAAGTCTGAGGGTCTCATTTTTCAGCTTTTCACCACCAATGTTGGTCAATAAAAGTTATTTATTGGCAGAGGCAGGTCAAGCTACTTAAAGTTTATTAAACCGCTGCAGTGTGATGCAGCAGCCGGATTCATCCACAGTGACTTGTGGGGTTGTTAAATTGCCAATGGCAGCGTGTTGACTTCAGACAGGGGAGCTGTCACTCAGGGTCGCTATTCAAGAATTAAATGTGTGAGTTAACAGAAAACTAAACACATTCAGTGCATTAGAACTGTGGTTTTGTGAATGTTGTAGCAACGTCTGAATGAAGCCCTGAGGCACCGACATGTGACCCGTGTGTGGGTGACAATGCCATCGTTTTATCAGACTGATGAAGCCAGCAGTGTTATCTGTCCCAGGATGAGAAGGGCTTAAGCATCTTTCTGCTTCTACAGATTATTCCTCACACTGGTCCTCAGCGATTTGTCCACATGGGCAAATGGGCTAATGTTATTCTTACTAAAGACCATTACCATGACATTTCAAGCATACCATTGAGATTCAGAGGACCCCTTTATCCCTGTTAAAAAGCCCTGAAGTCACTGTTAAGTGGTGGAATGGAAAGATGGGGAATACTAGAACAAGAACTGATTTCTATTTCCTGGATTCAGGCAAGTCTGAAATAATTGCACCATGAATAAATCACACACATACTTAAGTACACATACAGGCTTTTTAGGGCTTAGTAGATCTGCTCTAAGTGAAATACAGAATAGCTTAATAGTCTCCAGTGAATGCTCCTCATTCTCCTCTATCATCTTGTTTCCCCACTTGTTCACTTGTCCTCCACTTTCATTCAGTATCTGCCCTTCTTCCATCCACCACATCTCATTGGTTCGGCTCCATCATCCGTGCAGCCAATTGCAACAGCTCCCACCTGAGCCTTTGTTAAGTCAGGGCTCGTTAGCCTCGTCAAGCCCTCGTTAGCAGCTGCTGTGTCCTGCTGTGGGCAAGGTAAAGATGTGTAGGACACGGTGGTCTGCTTTGTGTGTGGGTCATTAAAGAGGCAAACACGATGAATAATTCAGATTATCATGTTGGGCAAGCAGCGGTAGAGCAAAATCATCGAGGAAAGAAACAGCGAGCAGCGCAGCTTAGTTAATGGAAGCCTCTGATTTACATTTGTGTGTGTGTGTGTGTGTTTGTGGGGTTAATGCTCTCTGGTGTACACCGCAGGTGAAGTCTGTGAAGACTGGATCAGTTTTTTGGACCATCGGATGCTGCCTCTCCTACTTCTATATGGTGAGAACTCA